AATGATGCAGACATCTTCTGCTGCAGGTGCTCTAGCAGCGCGTTTTCGTAATTTGAAACCGCATCTAGACGCGCATCGATTGCTTCGGGGCGTTGCGCAGCAAGGTGTTGCACGTCCTCAGGGCCAAGCAAGGACATCAATATTTTAAGCGCGTCCTGCATGCCCTGGGTCAAGAGGAAATTGTTCCATCCTCACAAAAGATCAGTCTAAACGACTCAGGTGTAGATTAACTATAAGTGCTACCAAGTGTAGCGGGGCTGCCGTAGCTTTGCGCTTAGAGTAAGCATAGTTCAGGTGATCGACCTTACGTTCTTCAAAAGAATCAGTACGAGTGTAGCGGACCGCAATCCGCTACCTCAAATAGTAGTTAGAACCTTAACCCAAGGCTGATAAATTCTTATGTTTAAAATGTAAACTGTAGTTGTTTGTTTTATCAGCGGCAAAGCCGCCAAATTTTTAATGTATAGATTTTCCTAAATATATATAGTAAAGTCTAAATACATGCATAACTACTGGCTAACCAGCCACGTATCGTATTCTTATTTGGGTGCAACACACCATGCCCATCTCGTGTGACACACACCCCTGTTACCAGAGTACGTGTAACCCCGTTACACCAATGGCGTCGATTGATGCTTGACGCGGACTTCGAGATGACAGTTCACACTCTCAAGCTCTTGTTGTGAACAGCCCCACAACGTCTCATTCAATAGGATGCTGTAACAGCTGCCAAACGATTTTTAAACTTGAAACATGGTCGGTCCCCACTGCTAAGAAGTGGTGCATGACGGGCAGTCCTTCTTCTTCTCCAAAAGAGATGAATTCTACGGCGTTTGGGCAATCTTGTCGAAGTTAAGAGTGAGATATACGTGAGTTTATCGAAGGGGAGTATTCAGTTAATTTCATCAGATTGATCCCTAGCCCACCCATCAGCTTACTAAACGGTATACGGGAAAGTAAGCTATCTCTTGTTCATCTAATTGATCAGTGTCGGTGAAAGTCACCCCTCCACGGCTGGCTCTCGCAAGATCCTGCGGTTGTAGTGGCACGTAGTGTTTCTCCGAAAGACCCAGCTTGCGTCCAAACTGAGCTGAATCAGATCTCGAATACGCTCTCTGAGCTTCCGCATTGCATTGAGTGACTTGAGGCCCCCATCCACCACTCGCAATAGCGTCGCAGTTTTGAAGCATAAGCTAGCTCAGCTGCGGGGGATATTAAAGACGATGCTCCTTTTACATCAGGGTGATTCACATCCGACTGGATCGTACAAGTGGTATTTGCTTTAGTAAGCCCGTAGAACACGGTGTTGTTTTGGGGTGTCTTGTGTACAACTACGTCTTTATAAACAGAATCTATGTGTACTTGCGGAAGTTGATGAGCATTTTGGAACTCGATTACTAAGTCCCACAATTCCATAACGCTTTTATCTTGTATACTTTAGAATTTGTATTTTTTGTAAAAATATCCTTTTCAACGCGCATACACCAAAAGAGCTACAGCCACCTCAGCTCATCCGCTACATTACACGATAAGTGTTGGAAATATTCGGACTAATCATGAAACAGTTGATGCTGAATACATGACAAAGTATAGGCCACGAAAACTCCCTCAAATCACTGCGTCGCAATATGACCGATGGGTAAATATCGATACCTGACAGGCCTTTGACCTGTCACTAGAATAGCTAGAAAAGGCTGCTCGATACAACAGCTTTCATCTTTCATGGGTAAAGCTCTGGAATTTTCCTAATGTACCGTAAGCTTGACATAAGCGACGGTGATCCACCAAGTACAACGATATGTCCTTGAAAATCCTAATTTAGCTCTACCATCGAGCTGGCTATACCAAGACTGTCTTCATGATCAGAAAACATGCCAATTGATGCGGTGAGGGCTCGAGTTGCATAGTTGTTTGCGTCGCAGCATGGAGTTGCATTGGATGACAACATGTCAAACTTTCCTTTGTGTACCTGTCTTTAGCAGCAAGATCAAGACCCAATTGACAGAAGTGGCACATTCTTTCTGTACACCCCGTTTGGGTGCATTAGTGCGACTTTGCCGTCCAACGAGTGCCCTAGCACTGCTGTTGGCTCTACCTTCAGATGGTCAGCTAGCCAACTGCGCGTTTGGTTGTCCAGTACACGAAGGCTCAGTCCGATCGGAACATCGTGAGATTTTTTGTCTACACAATTGTTCATGCATCGTCGATATAAATGACCTTTTGTGCTGACGACGAATGTGGCAGACTTATTTAAATATAACACTGTAGATTTAAAGCAGCAAATCGAAGCACTGGTGTCTTAAAAGACTCTCGATTTCTGTGCGTAATTTAATGAAAATCACACTTTTTTCTGTGCATGACAGAAAAAGCTACGATAAGAAATTTAGCCCGTCGGTCACGAGAAAGATTTGACTTTTGTGCAGAGGACTTTTTGTTTATACCGAAAGTGAATCATAGTTTCTATTTGTCGATCGAAGTATTGTTTTTTTGCATACAATATATTTTGGTATCTGGAGTTTGTTAGCTCACGATTATGAAATTTATCTACATGTCAAGCTACAATCAATGGAAGTGCGTATTTTCTCACAAAAAATAATTCCAACAAGGCAAGCATGAGCGCATTGGTGACTGTGGCCACGTGCAACCTCAATCAGTGGGCGCTAGATTTTGATGGTAATTTAAAGCGTATTCTTGAATCAATCCGTATAGCCAAAGAGCGTGGAGCGCGCTACCGCGTAGGTCCCGAACTGGAGGTGTGTGGCTACGGCTGTGAGGATCATTTTCTTGAGCAAGACACGTTTTACCACTGCTGGCAGTCTCTCGAGACTATTTTACGCTCGGATGTGACTAACGACATTCTGTGCGACATTGGTATGCCCGTCATGCACAATGGTGTACGCTACAATTGTCGCGTCTTTTGCTTGAATCAACGCATCGTATTTATCCGTCCAAAGCTCTTTTTGGCTGACGATGGCAATTACCGCGAAACTCGCTGGTTTACTACATGGAAACCTAATTTAGACAAGTCCAATGCACGCAGTCTTGACAGATTTGTACTTCCTGCCAGTTTACAGAAGCTTACGGGCGTCGTGCATGTGCCGTTTGGATCAGGTGCTGTCTCCACGCTTGACACCTCCTGTGCGTCTGAGACGTGCGAGGAACTCTTCACACCTGACAGTCCGCATATCAATCTTAGTCTTGCAGGTGTGGAAATATTCGGCAATGGCTCCGGATCACATCATCAGCTTCGTAAGCTGCACCAGCGCATGGACCTCATCCGTGGCGCCACTACAAAGAGCGGCGGTGTTTATCTGTACGCCAACCAGCAGGGTTGCGACGGTGGACGTCTATACTACGATGGCTGCGCTGTGATTGTGGTAAATGGTCAAGTGGTTGCGCAAGGCTCGCAATTTTCAGTCAATGACGTCGAGGTGATCACGGCCACTGTTGATCTCGACGACGTGCGATCGTATCGTGGATCTGTAAGCAGTCGCAGCGAACAGGCTAGTTCATTAGACACTGTGATACCCAAAATCGACGTCAATTTTAGTTTGTGTCATGATGATATGGTGATTGCCCAACCTACAGCCCCTATTGAAGTTCAATACCATATTCCAGAGGAAGAAATTGCGCTTGGGCCGGCTTGTTGGATGTGGGACTACTTGCGTCGTAGTGGGGGCAGCGGTTTTTTCTTGCCCCTTTCGGGTGGAGCGGACTCATCGTCTGTTGCATGCATTGTTGGCGTAATGTGCCACCTAGTTGTAGACGCTGCCAATGACGGGAATGAGCAGGTTATTAGAGATGTCCAGCGCATCATTGGGACATCTGATAGAATGTACCAGCGCTTGACGCCTGAGGACTTGGCCTCGCAAATTCTCTACACGACTTACATGGGAACAAAAAACAGCTCTGCGGCTACTAAAAAGCGTGCGGCAACACTTGCTAGCGAAATTGGGTGCTACCACCTCAGTATGGGTATGGATATTGTGGTCGATGCTGTTGTGAAGACCTTTTCGCTTCTTACAGGTAAGACGCCTCAATTTCTGTCGAAAGGAGGTACAATGCAGGAGGATCTGGCACTTCAAAACATCCAAGCTCGCTTACGTATGGTAATGGCTTACTTACTCGCTCAATTGTTGCCATGGGTGCGTTCAAAATCTGGTTACCTTCTTGTGCTGAGTTCGGGTAACGTTGACGAGGCGCTACGTGGATACATGACCAAATATGATTGCAGCAGCGGTGATTTAAACCCGATTGGTGCGACTTCTAAGGGCGATTTAAAGAAACTACTACGTTGGGCAGCTGTCAAGTACCACTATCCTTCTCTTCAGATTATTGAAGAAGCTCCTCCGACTGCAGAGCTACGTCCGACAGATGAAAGAGCTGAAGAGTATGCTAATCATTCTCAGTTGGACGAAGATGATATGGGAATGACGTACGATGAGTTAGGATTTTTCGGGCGTTTGCGCAAAATTGACCGATGTGGACCCTACTGGATGTTTCAAAAGTTGATTAACCTCTGGAGTCATGTGACGCCTACAGAAGTAGCGGTAAAGGTTAAGCGATTCTTTTATTATTACTCCGTTAACCGTCATAAGATGACTACGCTAACGCCGTCGTACCACGCTGAAAATTACTCGCCGGATGACAACCGCTTCGACCTGCGTCCGTTTCTCTACAACACCCGCTGGACTCGTCAGTTTGACTCGATTGATAAGCTTGTGGCGAAGTTGGAGAAAATAAAAGAGCAGTAAACTTATTGTTTAACCAAGTTTAGTTCGCAGCCATCCGCGTAGCGTCATTAATTTTCTAAATATCGTTGTCACCGATAATTAGACTTGCAATAGTCGGTAACAGTGTACTGTTAGTCGGAGTTTTGCTAGTTTATAAGAATCCCTTGATGCTTTCCCGGCGACAAAATGAAAATCCTCGAAACAAATTGTTGTCCTCATCAATTACCGCGTCGCAAAACAGGTCAGACGCAGACATACTTGTGAATTTCTTATCGAAATAACTGGTGTCTGCCTCGTCAGAAATGTTAGGCACCATGGGAGGAGGAACGCAAAGGGTTTCCATTTTCTTCCAGTTTACCGACTGTTTGGTCGAACACGTAAGTATTGTAGCTGGACATCACAGTGAAAATGCACATACCTTAAAAAAAGGATGGCGTTTTAAGGCGTGCACTCCCTTTACCACAAACATAGACGATTTACCGCCGCCAAGCCTTTTGCTTACATTACGTTCCAAAAGAGACTTGAGTAACGAGTGCGCTTCGCCGGAAAGCCATGGTGGTAATTGAATCTGTAGTAATTGAATAAGAAATAAAGTCCATCTTCGATGTTTAAAAAACAATAGCTAACCTTGGCTGATAGAATCTGCTTGTGTAAGTCCGTGGTTCTTCTTGAAGTAAAAGGTGGTTTTCCAACCAGCATTTCGTACGCAAGCGCGCCAAGAGACCACCAGTCCGCAGCCTAGAGATAGAATCAAGGTCAACACCATCAACCACAGAAGTTTTGTTGCTAAAAAGAAGTATTCATGATATGGTTACCGAGTCATATCCCTTGCCGAGTAGCATTTCCGGGGCCATATATTCTTTGGTACCACATATTGTCATCAGATCCTGCCCTTCGATAAACTCTTTTGCCAATCCAAAGTCCGTTAATTTGATGTGTCCTTCAGCTGATATCAGTACATTTTCGGGCTTGAGATCCCTTCCAAATTCAAAAGATCAAGATTAGGCATATAAGCAAAGAACGATAATAGTATCAAAGGCTTACCGGTGAATAATGCCGTGTCCATGGAGGTGTTCCAGCGCTAAAATCATTTCAGCCAGATAAAAGCGTGCTGCATCCTGCCCAAATCATATAAACAATATGTCAGCTTTATCTCCAGTTGACTGCAAATAATTTACCTCCGTAAAAGTCCCTTCCTCTTTTAAATAAGAAAACAACTCTCCTCCGGACTGGTACTCCATCACAAGGTAAACCTTTGAAATTACCGCTTTTGGGCATTAGATGATACTGCAGTGGATTTGGTTGCTGTGCTTTAGTCACCTTTGAATCTGTTTGAAAAGCGTAATGCAGGCCAATCACAAAAGGGTGACGGATCTGGCGAGATAGCGATGTTATTATGTGACGACGACTAGCGTGACAGAAACTTTTACCCTTGTCATTACATCGCGCTCAGTCTTCATATAATGAACGCTATCCATATTGATGATGAACTGTTTGCTTATAATCTACAGCAATCGGACACACAAAACGTAAGAAAAAGAAGTGATGTACGAAAGAAAAAATAACACCTTCATTGCGTGTACAGTTTTGATAGCAGAGTGCCGAACCAATAAAACCTAGGATCACGCTCAAACTTAATGAAAAAAAACATCCGCAAGATAATTTTGATTAGCCTCGCCTTGCCAAATGCGCCTTGACCAATGACCTTCAGTAGCTGAAAATCGTTCAAACTCGCAGTTTCCTTGTCACCTGGAGCTCGTATCCTACAAAATTATTTGAGGTTTTCTTAGATGCAATCAGAAAAATGCAACGCTGATTTGACAATCATACAGCTTACGGAAGCTTCTCAGGATCGCCACCTAATTCCACTGCCCTTTTCCCAGTGCGGAAACATTCCTTGCAAACGGGACGCAACAAGTGACGTTGTCCTCCGTGAAATCTGACTCACACATAAGGATGAAAACGGAACAACTGCTGATATAGTTTCGGATCGGATCTTGCTTTTATGATATGACGCACTTATTATAGCCTTTCGTGATGCAGCATGCTGCACATAGCGGCATCGTCGGCAAGTTTTTTATAATGCATGCACTCGCATTTTAGCCAATAGAACCTATTTTCTGGCTGAAGAATTTCAATGATAGGATTGAAAAGTTTACGAAACTGCATCTTTTGCTGATTATTGCGCAACTAATACTACCGTTGCGCCGGCTTTTTATCGTACTATTGACTCGTAATGTAACAAATTCTGGGTAGATGTTCCATAATCTTGTAAGCTTATTTCTTACACATTTGTTAAAGTTGTATTAAATACATTAATAAATTATGCTTTGCACTATTGTGTCATTGTGAATATTCATTTGTACCAAAATATTGGTGTTGATGACAACGATGGGGCTTCAAAAAGAAGGATCCATGGTACAGGTGTGCTGCTAGCCGACCGTCACATAAAAAAGACTCACCCTTGAAATAGCAGAGCAAAATTGACACCAAAAAAAGGAAGAGGGTCTCGGTTTCGCTTCTGCTAGGAGCGCACGAACTCAAATTTCGTGGCTTAGTAAAAAAAATTCCCCTACGCAATGTGCAAAGCAGTCCCGGCGCTCCTGGTAGCACTTCAAGTCAATTCCAAGACTGAGTCGCGAAAGGACTGTAGCTTCTGCCATTATTATGTTTGAGAACCTGCAACAGGGAGAGATAGAGCTTTGTCTGTCATTGATCTCGTCGGGGTCAGGGATGTGGCGGCAAATGTTGGAGGAGGTAGCCGATCGTCTGAAAGTGCTTCTTAACCTCAAGAGTGCGCTGCAGAGATATACCCCAGCGCTCCACAGCGCGCACAAGCATAGCTGTCAGCATGCAATACCTCATGGAAGGAGGTGTTCCCAACCCGTATAGACCTGAAACCACGGATGTCGTGGTCGTTTACAACACCTAATTAGGTGTATCGGGTGATAGCCTATTTCAGGGGTTTAAAAATCTTATCGCCATTTTGGCATCAGAAGACCCTCCGGAGGGGAGGTTACGGCTTCAACTTTCTGGGAGAATCTCCAAACAGTGTGGCTTGCAATGAGACCTTTCGCGTCCACCCTACCTCATTCGAGAAAGGGGTGGATGTCATATTAAATACGTAATACTACTTCCGTACCGCGAGGTTCGGATGGGGTACCAGTAGTGGTAGCTTCAATGCCGCACCAGAGGAGGTGGGTACCCTTATGTTGACGTGAAAGAGAGATTTTTTGGATGCCAAGCAGCGTGAAGTACTTGCAGATAAAATGTGTGAGACTAAAATATTTGTGCCATGCATGCCCCCTACGAAGCGCAAGGGCGGCCAGCGAGTCTTCGCGAGGAAACGTGGAGCCCTAATAGGCAAAGAGCGACCAGCTTCAAATAACACGAGTGGTTTTCTACCTCAATGGGGTGGATTTGATGAGACCTAGCCCTTATAGCAGTGACTTTCTTTAGGAGAGGTGGGGCACATAGGCCACGGCTGTTTGTTTCTAACGTTAACGCCGCGTACTTTGTAAAGCGGTGAATATTCCTGATAGATTGAGAAGGTATCACGTACGACGCGCGACTGTCAAAGATAGTAGATAGTACACATATGCATGGAAGATACCACCTAAGTATAGTTTCTCCGTGCGTCGCGGACTTTGATAAGCTGTGGATAGTCAGGATAGATTGAGAAGGTATCACGTACAAAGCGCGACTGTCAAAGATAGTAGACAGTACACATATGCACGGAAGATACCACCTAAGTATAGTTTCTCCGTGCGACGGAGAATATCTGAACATTAACGACTGTATGGGTTTTAGCGAATATTGGAGATGTACAAGGGTAAGTTCAGATTGACAAATACTATAATAATAGTAGTATTTTTATGGTAATATGAGAAATTGTATTCGAGTTTCATTTATCACTTTATCAAAAACGATTAATTAAAATAATAGTTTATAAAAAAATACTAATTGATATCGTGCTGATTATTATAACGACCGACTGATATTTATTAATAACGAAAGAGGACTCGGTAATAGTCTTGAAGATCATAATTAGCCTTCAAATGATATTTGATGACCCCGACAACCTGAGACATTGTCTGGTCTTGGATCTGTAAACGAGGTATGAATTTATTCTGGGTGTGCACGGCTGAAATGCAATGAGACATGGGTCGGCTGTAAGCCGAAGAAGTTAGGTGCTGCGCATTGATCTCCTAATTGAGCTTTGGTGGGTCATAATTTCACCTCTTATAAGAAGCAGGAGCACTTTTGGTGTGAGCACGAAGATGCGTTAGCTTTCGCGCAGTACAACGGATTGCCGGATATTGATGGCAGTGATGATATTGCTTAGTCCCTCAATCATAGTTTGGAAATGCAGAAGCAGCGGTGAGCAGGGTAAATCTCTGCTCAGATATTGTGGTGCACTGAGCCTACTTCTGGAGTGACGGCAAAGAGTAACTGTGCTGTGCCAGGGCGGGTCGCGAGTGATAGTGAGTGGGGATCGCAGTTTTCAGAGCCAGAGTCGGTGGGGATGAAGGGTGAGTGCAAGTCGCGAGTAGTAAGACCAGGCCTTAAAGATAAGGAGGATTGCAACAATACTGTTATGCCAGCACTGCCGTGTGATGGGCATATCTTGCGGAGTAGTGAAACTTCACAGACAAGTGGTGAGAGAAGTAACCAGTTATGGAAAGAGTGACCGTGTTAGCCCTATGGAACGTAAGTCCCCACTCCAGCATTAGCTCTTATACAGCTGAAAATTTTATCCTTGAGAAATATATGCAAGGAATTGCCAGACTGTAAGTGCAACGGGGTCTCACTTGGCCTTGGTATGAAGGGCGCGGATCACACATGATGGTGTGATCACACAATTTGGTGGAAGATGGTGTGACCACATAATGGTGTGGCTACACTTGAGTAAAAATCAGTGTGTGGCTGGAACAGCCAGTAGTTCTAGTTTTAATTAGGTTTTACTATATATCTAGTAAAACCTATAGATCTAGATATCGGCAACTTTGCCGGATAATAAAAACCTGGAAATACAGTTTACGTTATAAACGGAAGAGGTTTCTAGCCCTGGGTCAAGGTTGTAGTTACTCTTGGAGTAAACGGATTTCGATTCGCCACACCCGTACTGGTTTTAAGTATAAAACGAAGGTCACCGACCTTAACCACTCTCCCTCTAAGCAAAAGAGCAACGGCAGCCCACTGCAACAAGCTTACTATAATGGTACCGTAGTATCAGAGGCGGAGATAAGCTCGTTATCCGTCATAATTCTGTCATCAAAGACACTTGCCGAGTTCCTGGGACAGCTCTCTTCAAAAGTCCCACGGGTCCTTTTTGTCCTTTATCGAAGATATGTCATGACGAGATGTAGAGAGTGTGTTACCCCCCCGGTACGAAAGTGCGTTATGCATCTGACCTATTTCCCAAACCGGACATTGCGTCGCGCGGCAATGATCTTAACCAAGGGGATAGTGTGACGTCATTATAACTATCTTCCGTGCAAAACACTGAGCGGTTTTGGTGTGTTACAGCTTCTCTTCCTGCTCGGCGCCGACATTTTGTATCAGTAACGCAAACGATAATTGGGAATAGTGCATGTTTATAAAAAGCTAAATGCAACGACGTTTTTTTAATACAGACGCTGATCCCAACAAATAATTCTAGCAGATCGACATGGTCGGTTGAACTTTGTTTGATGATTGATGATAACAACCAACTGCTGATGAGAGACAGCGATATTTCTCTCGTAGCAGATAGAAAGTCTTGCACGATACTTCGGGAATGGCTAGATTTCTACGGAGACTGTCTATTGCATCAGCAACGGTCAATTTCCTGGCTATGCAGCAGCTAAAACCACATCGCGGCTACGCACAATCCTATTACGAAGATATATGCGTCCATGGTCGTGCAGAGCACAGAAAATTGGCTGATGAGAACCTATCAGACATTGCGAGTATCTGCCTCATTAGACGAGTGCGTCTTTTGCGCCGACGATGCTTTCTTTTCTAGCTGCTTTTTTCGTAAGCAGAGCCTGTGGATAGATCCTACAAAGATAAAGTTACTATAGATTAATCAGTGCCTCTGTCCCAGATGACACTGTTTAAATGGGATATAGAGTGCAAAATATGCCTACACGGCACATCCCTCACCGACCATCTGAAATGGATAACTCCTGAGTGTTGCAGAAAGGTCGCTTTTAGGGCAGTTTATAGTAAGCCTCATGCGTTCCCCGATTTTGGCTATTCCAGATCCAGATCAACTAATTCTGTCGGCTTAGACGCTTCAGCCTTTGCTATTGGTTGTGCCTGGGCAGCTATGAGTTAATCCCACATGCTTCTGAGCGTGTATTGATGCCTCAGGATGCAAACTTTGCGCGCGACACATAATAATCCTTAAGTGGCCACCTATAAAAGGATTCGACATATTGATGGGCAAGTTTTCGTGAACAAATGGCTGCTTGGTATTTTTCACATGTCTTTCAACGTGACGATTTCTCAATTTTTCGTTGCTAATAGAAAATGTATGCGGCGTCGGCTCCGTCAGCTTAGCATTTAGAAGAATAGCACTGTTCTAAAAAGAAATACCTCTTTGTGCGCGGTCTCGACCACAAGCTGCTCTCTGTATCTGTGTTCACCGCATGCGGTGCGGAAGTGCACAAATGCGGGGAAACATACACAGTTCTTCTGAGAGGATATATAATTGCCAAGGGAGAACGATCGAAAAATCATACGCACAAAGTTTGGCCAGTACCTACCCGTGCACTGTAGCTGAGGTCGCAGCTGTGGATGAGTCGAGAAATTGGCACTCGCTTCTTGGCCACACTGCGTAATATTATGCGCTGCATAAAATTGCGAAATGGATTCCACGGCTTCAGCCAGGTGAATTCTTCAGTTGGCCGCATAAAGCCATCTCCGTCCAGGCAACCGTGCAGAAATGATGTTTCAACATCGAGCTGTCTGACGACGTATAATTCGATCCTAGATAATGTGAGAAATGTGCGGCTGTGCTGAGACTTGCGATAGGAGAATAAAGTTTTAGTACAAAAACATGACAGAAACATTCAGCAACCCATCGGGCCTAGAACCGGACAATATTTCCCCCTGCAGCTCGCATAAGACCGAACACATTTACTGACAATACCCCAAACGTTTTAAAGTCGACGCACAGCATCCCGCAGTTAATTCGTAAAATGAGACTGTAGCTTACACCAAATTTACTCCTTCCGAAACGGGGCCGGATGAGATGCTATAGCTTCTTGATTTGCTTGAGGGATCTTAGCCAATTCAACTTCATATCCATATGTAAGGCGAAGCCTTTTGTGTTCACGCTCAGCAGATTCGGAGTTGTCGTCATGAACGGCGTAATGTTCTCGACTCTAGTCCCCCGTTGGACAACCCAATCATCCACAGTTGGAGGCAGAGCCGGAAAGTCATTAGACGGTCTTGACACGCGATTAAGCTCGTGACGACACAAAGTGACCACCCAACACCAGTTGGCTCTCTCTCCCTTGGTCAATCAGGAAAGGATCACGATAGTGGATTGCAATTAGTTTGTCTCAGGCAATCGCTGGTAGCGGGGAGTGAAAGTGGTGCGATCTGAGTCAGTCGATCAGAACATGACATCCATGAAAGACCATCAGTGAGCGATAAGAGCAAACTAGTTTCAGATTAAGAGAAGGTAAAGACGGAGTTCATCGGCCCATCATGAACTTTCTGTCAAGTTCTTGATCACATTATCCGCTTTCATTTTCTCGACCACTGATAAGCCGAAGGCGGGGCAACGTATGCAGGGGCGTATCGAGATGGTTGTTGCTCATCGAGAGCAATAGATTTCTGTAGACTAGAAATGGCAATCCCAAATGCAATAGTCCCTGGGCATAACCCACAAAGATTTAGCGATGAGCTTTAGTGTCAAACTTTTCCACTTGGTCTTATCAACATACACTGCCACCGCAAGTGTAGCCTGCTGAGCGACCGCCTTCTCACATTAGTTCGAGTGGTGTTGTGTCATGGCTGGCAGCACTTGGGAGCCTGTCGTTAATGTATACAGCAGTCTTATTCGTCTCATCCCATCATTTCTTTGGCAATGCATATGATGCGACATCGCGCGCATCTCAGCAATGAAGCGATTGGCTCGTCACGCGAGACTATTGTTTAGGCAACGAGAAGGTGACAATTTTGTAAGAAATGCGTTCTTACACACATAAATCATTAGATTTTCTTGCTGCAGAATTCCCCACCATTATTTGTCTTGATGCAACGGATACGGCTTTGAACACGTGCCTCCTTTTGTGCCTTAACCAGCCTCGCCCTTGAGCATGATCCAGCACATCTCGATATGCCGTGACCAGTATTCAACAAACAGGCCAAACATGAGCTTTCGATCATCAACACCCAAATGATCCTGGTAAAAACCTATGTGATTTTCGCGAGACTATTTAAGCGGATCCAAAGAAATACCGTCAATAGATAGGCTCTCTACTCTTCACCGCCGGCGAAACTCGTCGAAATATTTTTGTGGCATTGTGTGAACTCGCGCAATTTTCCGAAACCCCTTACAGACCTAGTTGAAAGCAGCAATCCAAGTCCTGTGCTGCATACTTAGTATGTTCTCGCTCAGTTGTTGCTACCGCCGTGGTGCCTCAATCGATTTGATGCCGGTTGTCTTTGTGGACGCGAATGGGGTAAGTGATGCGACGACATGCTGATCGACAATGGAAATTATATTGCTCTTAAGCGGTGCTCCAGTGATTACGAGTCGAAGCGTCTGCAAATCGTAGATCTCTCCAGTGTTGAGGCAGAGTATATGGCTGTATCTCTCGCACTCGGAAGGCTATATGACTTCACCATCTACCTGAGGAGCTTGAAATCACTCATCTCAAACCACCATTGTAAACGCTGCCAATCACGCGTGGCTCAGAATGCCGTCGACCAGTCTTTAAGCAAAGAACATCAATCTACGCTACTACATCGTACATGAAGCAGTACAGGACGATGAAATCAAGATCCCGTTCATCTCATCCGCACGACCAGATTGCAAACGTATTTCCAAGCCTCTTTCAGCAACACACTTTGCCAAACATGTTAACTCAAGTGGTGACTGACTGCACCTTGATGGGTAACTGAGGAGAAGTGCAGCGGGACTGCCGTAACTCCTTACTTAGATAAGGACATCGACCTTTTGTTCTTTCCAAGAACCAGTACAAGTGTAGCGGATCGCAACCCGCTACTTCTAAATACTATAAAGCATTGGACAAGGCAAGCAAGCACTTCTGTTCAGAAACGAAACTGTATGCGCTTTGTTTTAGTTGCGGCAGAGCCGCCAATATGTAGAACCCAAGGTTTTCCAGAATAATATTGTAATATGCATTCCTGCCACGTAGTGGCTTTTTGTTGCGGTGTAGCCACACCACTGTGTGATTACAATAACTTGTGATCGCACAATCTTGTGCGACCAGCCCTTTCATACAAGGGTACGAGTAACCCCCTTAAACTCTCCCCCATAAAATTTGTGAATACCCACAATTCACATATAACGGTCCCCTCATACGAGACTCGCCTGTCTGAGACACCCTAACGTTCTTTGAATTCAAATTTGAACCTTCTCCGCTCTATGAGCCCTGTGTCTACGACACAAGGTGCATCTCCAGACAATACTTTCGCGGCTTAACGGGAAGAACATCCCAAGCACTCGGCACTTGAGCGCAACACACAGCGCCCACTCCGGGTGACGGATTTCATCGTCGAGGAGTTGGATGAAGTCGACTACGAGTCGGATACTCCGTTCCCAGCATGGGATGACGATGAGGATGAAGCGAGCCAACGGCGCAACGTGAGCCCAGCTCAATCCTCGCGGACACCATGTCTGTTCCCCGACCTCTCGGCTCCCGTGGAAAGTGGCATAATTACCAATCGACTCGAAGAAGCATAGGAGCAGCTATTGGAGGATGCTCATAGGGCGGCTCTCCTGCGCTCGTATCCACATTCAGGATCCCGCTACTGAAGCGAAAGACACCATCACTCGATCTTAGGCGTCTACGTAGTCAGGCCCCCGGCCACAACACAAGCTGAGCTTGATCAGCGGAAAGCTTAGCGAGCTTGCTTCTTGGTACCACAAAAGATTCCAATGCATCGGTACCGCGCTTGACTTCGACCTCAAATATGAGGTGCTTCTGTACCCGCAATGTGGACCATTCCTGTGGTGCTCACCCCTTGATAAATCGCTGCAGATGACGAAGAGCTCTTTGAGCGATGGGTGCAACGGCATCGGAAACTTTCTTTGCTGTTTACCTTAAAGAAGCTCAAGGAAGTGGACTTGCGCGTTAAGAGCCATCTTAGATTTGAATTTGCCAAACTCAAGGCGCAACGCCGACTTCCTGCGTATTGTCTGCGACATACGGAACAATCCATAACGCTCGTGTGTGCTCTGTGGTTTCTCACACGGGTCCGTCTACGACCACAGCAACTCAAAGCCACAGCTTGATCTCAGCTCATGGCCCTCCGACTTCCCGGGCTACTGCTGAGATGCGCGGTGCGCACGATGGAGCGAAGCGTCATGATATCCCAATTATAGGCGTCCACGACATCTGAATAGTCTTGCCGAAGTGGCACCTAAAACTCCTACGAGTTCTCGGAGTTCTGGGTATCCGCGCCACTTCATAAGATATTAGGTTTGTCCCTGGCGACGACGTCGACCCACAAGGCGTTTCAAGTGGTAGTGGGTGCCGCCATTCTCATCGAGAAGAGTCGGCGGCAGACGATGACGAATTTAGTCGATCGTCGCCCGGTGACTCGCGATGCTAATCAAGCGTTAGGGGCAAAGTCCGTCGTCAACGGCATTCTGCCAAGTATCTCTCCGAGGTCGTCTACCACTGCGCAGAAGGCCTCGAGAACCTGGAGCACATTTTGCACCAACTGCCTCACGTTGAGAGTTATCGTGATCTGTCGGAGCGGCTCTTAGCCGTCGAGCCGCTTCGTGCGACGGTGGAGCGCGTTGGAAACAGGAAGTACTGCACCTCATGCTCACAACCAGTTGCTGGTTCAGCTTCTGGGTGGGTGAGCGTCAGTGGGCGCCGCCTCGGCGCCTACGCTTTCGCGTTCACTTGCACCAGATCCCTGTACGGCTTAACCAAGCCCAAATAAAAATCGGCTGGGTGCACATATGTCTCGAAAGGTTCAGCGTATACGCTAGGCCTCGCTTGACCACGACCTTAATAGGTCCAATATACCGTCGACAAAGCTTTGTCTTAAAAAAGCAGAAGCTGCATGTATAGACGGGTTTTTTACATTTAAAAAAACAGGTCTCCGACCTCGAAGTTTTCAAAATTTCTACTTCATGTCTTGGCTTTATGCCATCGCAAAGCGAACTTATTTTGAGAAACATAATCTGATAGACAGGAAGTCATCAACTTCTGTACGTACAGTAAGGGGCTGACATCATCTAAGCGCTCGGCTATCTCTCCCCTACCAAGTCCTGAGCGATGGGACGGCGGCGTCAGCGAGATGCGAGGATGAACAAGACCGTTCACGTAGACCGGCGTGCAGCCAGTACGAGAATGCACTGCATTGTTCAGAGCAAATCTATGACTGGCAGCATGGCACTCCAGTGCCTCGGGGTCTCATCGCAGACGCTGCGAAGGACGTCCG